GAGAGAGAGAGAGAGAAGGAAAATCGTTTTCCAACCAAAGATTCCAACCGAGTCAATTCCGACGCTCGAGAATTACACTTCGATTCCACCTAATTGTTCCGAATCGAGAAGGAGCGTCGTTCGGACAATTTTCCGATCACGGAATCGCGTGTTCCGCCGCCATCGCCATTTTTCCATTCAACGGGTGTGCGATTGAACTTCTTTGATCTCTATGATCGTAACTTCTCGAATTACTTCGAATTCGGAATTTTTCCTAGAAAAATATTGAAAATATTAAAAAGTAGTATCCTCTCCAATACGTTGTCGAAAAGAATATTAAGCGTCATCCGAGGACAGTGAAAGTTCTGCCAAGATGGCGAAGAAATAATTTGATAGGTATTTTAAAGAGTAGCGACGGTAGTGACTCTACTTCGTCTACGAAAACGTTGGAAGCGACCGGTTATAAGTGATGAACGCTCAGTCAAATCGTGTTCATGGCGCGGAACTTAAATCGTAAAACAAGGGGTTAATTGTTATGTGTGCGAATAATTCCTTCCCCCTTTTTTCTACGATCGTAACTCTCGATCGAATTCGAATCATTTTATATATTCGTGGCGAGAAAGAGTTCTCTCGTTTTTAAAAAAGAGTCGCATCGTTTACTTTTTTACATTCCAGCTTAGGAAATCAGTTTGTGGCCACCGAGAGACGACGCTGTTTCTTAAGGAATGTGGAAAAAGTGGAAAAGCAAAGATTCGAAGCCGGAAATTTTAGTTGGAAAGACGAAAGCTGGACGAAAATCCGAGTGAAACACAATCTCGTAGCCGACTTACGTAATAAAATCTTGAATTTGGAAGGGAAAGAACTGGTCGGATAGAGGAAGGCGAAGTTGGTAGAAAATACGAATCGCGAAAAACAGTGGGAGTTGAGGCCGGTACACGATATAACGCAGATCGATATCGGCTATAATTGCTGGCCGCTTAACACTTGACCCCACTTGGTGCGCATGCACTGGCGTGCAACCACGCACGCAACCACGCATTCGAAGGGGAAAGTAAAAGTAGGAGGAAATTGCATTAGAAGGCGCACCCCTCCTTTCTCTTTCCCCTGCTTTCTCGCTTCGGTCACAAGGTCGTCTGAAGAGGTTTCGAAGGTCTGGGCTCGAGGTTAAGGGTAATGAAAAGTAACATCTCTCCACCCTTCTCGAGGCTTGCTTGCTTGCGGAAGAATACGTGAGTAAAGAAAGCATGTATATAATCGGTTTCACTCGGTGCTTATCGACGCATATGCGTGCCATAAAGAAATTGTTCCAAGTAATTCCAAAACAACTTTTGATAAAAAACAAAAGTAAGAAGAGGAAGAAGGTATATCTGTTGATCGAATTGTTGGAGAACAGTTGGACGGTTTGTAAATTTCATCAACGAAATCGAGAAAGTTGGACGGATACGTTTTTGTCGAATCGATGTATAATAAAGTTTCTTTCTTTAATTCGCAAGACGACAACGAAATAATCCAACGAATCCGTCGAAATCGAAAATTAAATTACGCGTTGTTTGTTTGGAGGCTATTAATCTCGTCTCACGTACGGCACGGCGAGAAGAAAGAAAGTGATAAATGATGGAGGAGAATATTCCGGCGGGCGATAGATTTAGTGGAGCCATTTCGAGAAATTAAATTCTGCTCGCACGCTGCAATCTCATTAAATTGGCGGGGAAGAAACTACGTGTGCCGGTGGAAGTAAGCGTGGCTGGCGTGGAACGGTGATGGCGTAACGTGTCCCTGGGTGGCCGAAATGAGAAAGAATCGAGCCCAGACGGAGGAGGGTTGCTCCCGAGTTCCGTGTATAAGGCATAAGACCGGCCGAACTACCCCGCTAAGGGTTCGCCTTGGGGAGTGCTTTCCAACTGTTTCAGTTTCTCTCGGAAGAGAGAAACGATGGCCAACTCGTGCCAAAAGAGCCTACAGCCTTGCCCTTCGAAAAACCTTGATTATATATTTACAAAGAGCACCCCTCCCTCCCGTATATCTTTTCGTTGACTGACCGTGTTGACCACAATTTTTCCTCGAAGTTATAGTTATATATACTTTTCGATACGTACATTCGGTCAAATTGGCCGTACGTGAAAGCAGCGATGAAAATTGGAAGGAATAACGACGAGTGGAAATGAATTCGTTTCGAGGAGGATGTAAATAAAAAGTGACAACGATCATCGGATAGCGACACGGTGGATGGCATTGGACGGAGTCGAATCGAAAGTAATCTAAGTTGGAAAGAGAAGGAACGGGTGGGAAAGGTATTTCAATAAGGTATTGCAAACAAATCGAAGGAAGAAGAGGCGGCCGTTCCAACGTATAGCGACGTCGTCGCGGGTACGGAAGGAATTGAAAGAGCGCGGTGGGAATAGCGGCGCGGTAATAGTAGTCGAAGTCGATGCTCGGTCGAAAAGAAGAGGAGGGGCGGGACGTATAGAGCCCGTTCAAGGGTGGGAAACGTGCGCAGAATGTGTCGTGGCAGCAGCCGCAAAACGCTCCGTCACGCGACGGAGTCGTGTCGCACACGTACCATGTTTGTCCACGTACCATTTATCCCCGCGCTCTTACACTTTCGTGTGCGCCATCTCTGGGGTGGGAGGAGCGAGGTCTCCACCAACGTGTGCGCCAACGATAAAACGTCTTTCTTTTTTTTTTTTTGTTTTATTTATATAAACGTGAAATCAATATCGCCGTTGTGCAACACCATTCCAAGACGAGGTGTACAAAGAGAGAAGGGCGAAGATGGGGGAATGCGGGCGATGGACCGATCGTTGTCTACCGCTGCCTCTGTGATGCAACCCCCACGTCTCCCCCCTCATCATACCTAACGTGGTGGAATGTGGGATGAAATTAGTCCTTAGTCTCCCCTCCCCTCGGTCTGACGCGATGGAACGCGATGCCCGGCCTGTGACGGGACCGTCGACGATAGGACGACGATAGGTATTTCAGTATGCGGCCAAGCGTGGAAACGCATCTTGACGGTGATGTAAATGTCGTCGCGAGTCTGAGAGGGCGCCCTCGTCGATTCGTAACGTCGATTATTATATAGCTCTTTTTCTATTGGCGTCACGTCCACGAGTAGGGTTGAAACGGTTGCACGGGAAAAACGAGGGATCGAATCCACGAAAATACGTGTCACGTGTGTCACGTACTGTTGGCGCGTAACGTCTCTCGAAATGTATATTCTTTTTTACTTAACTGTAAGATAAGAGAACGTAGCGTGTCCGCGAATATGTCTGGCTCGTTCCAAAACTCGAAGAAGAAAGTTGGAGAGGTGTATACGTTGCTAATGATCGTATGATGAGAGAAGATAGATTATCCGGAAGGGGGTTGGGAAAAATGGGGGAGAAAAATCGGGGAGGTGAAAGGTTATAGGTGGAAGAGTGGGAGTCGTCTCGGTTGTTTAACCAAGGTTTCCACGGTTGCAGGTAATACAGGGTAACACGAACACGTATTTGGAGTCGAAGCACGAGCTGGAGCCGCCTCTGTGGGCGAGCAAGATCCGTTTTCTGCCCTACAGCCATCACACGCGGACGGTTTGCATGCGGGTCGAGCTCTACGGATGTTACTGGAGCGGTAAGCTGTTTGCACTCTCCAATTTTCGTTGAACTTGCCGCCGCTTAGAATACTCACTGGACTGTCCATTAACCCTTATGCCATTCCCGTGCGCGCAAATTTGCTTTTCACAATCTTGCTTGTACAATTATCCCTTTCTTCCTTTGATGAACCAACATCGAATTAAACGTTTAACCAAACGGAAAGGTACACACCAAGTAACATAGACTGCTATTGTGCTTCTTACACGTTCGCCGTGCTTAGAAGTTCAATTAATCGCGCGAATCCAAATCCTCCAGGCAGTTTCCAAGAACTTTCTATCGTTTGATTAATTCTCCCTCCTCCCTCTCTCTCTC